TGATAGAAAACGTTCATAGCACAACGTTCTTGGAACGTCTTTAGGACGTTATTTGTACTTGATGAATGTTGTTATAATGTTGATAGAAAACGTTCATAGAACAACGTTCTTGGAATGTCTTTAGGACGTTATTTGTACTTGAATGTTCTTATAATGTTGATAGAAAACGTTCATAGCACAACGTTCTTGGAACGTCTTTAGGACGTGATTTGTACTTGATGAATGTTCTTATAATGTTGATAGAAAACGTTCATAGAACGTTCTTGGAACGTCTTTGGAACGCTATTTGTACTTGAATGTTCTTATAATGTTGATAGAAAACGTTCATAGCACAACGTTCTTGGAACGTCTTTAGGACGTGATTTGTACTTGATGAATGTTCTTATAATGTTGATAGAAAACGTTCATAGCACAACGTTCTTGGAACGTCTTTAGGACGTGATTTGTACTTGATGAATGTTCTTATAATGTTGATAGAAAACGTTCATAGCACAACGTTCTTGGAACGTCTTTAGGACGTGATTTGTACTTGATGAATGTTCTTATAATGTTGATAGAAATGTTCATAGCACAATTTGTACTTAATGAACGTTCTCATAATGTTGAGAGAAAACTGTTTTAGAACAACATTCTTAGAACGTTCTTGTAATGTTATTAATATAATTTCTAAATTAATAATGAATTGCTAAATGTTATTATGGTCTTATCCTAAAACATTCTGATAACAGTATTCATGTCCTTATAATTGCAGGCCTCTTTATGAACGTTATCATAATGTTTGGAGAAACATCTTTAGAAAAAAAAATTCTTATAGGCTATAAAGCATATGAATAGAACAGAATATGATATGATATGATAGAAAAATAAAATGTATTTAAATATGAAACTACAACCTCGAGTAGGTGGTGGCAAATCACCTGAATGAGTCACTGAATCTTTTATAATTATATAATTTATCATTATTAATTATAGCCTATATATCTTTTATAATTTATTGAAGTCACTTGGCCTAAGTGAATGTCATACACTGTAAAACAGTGACATTTGCTAAATGAAATTAGTTCATTTACCTAAAAAATGTAAAAAAGTTATTTCACTATGCTATACACTGTAAACCCCAATGTTGTCATTAATAAAGAAATCAATTTATCATAACGTAACATTAGTTACCAAGTTTTGGTGTCAAAAATTAAACAGGTATGTTTAATTAACTCATTTGGGAGCAAAAATCTTTTGAATTAAGATTTTAAGTGTAATGAACTCAAAATTTCAATTTATTTAAATTATGCTCTATGTCTCTGTTTAATATGATTGGTCGTGTTTGAAATTCTGCCTTGACAAACGCGCTGATTGGTCGATATAACACAAGGCGGTAAGTTTTGGTCGTTGTGAATTTGCTGAAGCAGCGGTCCAGACTGAGGCACTGCAGAGAGAGCCATCTAAAAGATGAAAATCAAACGTTAAATTGGTAAGTAGAGAATAAAACGCATATATACACTTTTCTTAATTACCTTACAAGTTTTATTGTAATGTTATTTGAAAGGTATAATAGCAAATTTCCCGTTTGTCTCCCGCAGCGGCACTAGCAGACAGGCGGTCATCGTGAAGCAGGCGGGAAGAGAGCCTTGTCATAAAGACTCATTGAAGTATGCTGGTAGGTTAAAGGGATAGTTCACCTAAAAATGAAAAGTTGCTGTTAATTTACTCACTATACTTCATAAGACCTCAATGTATCGTCAGGAGCCACAATATTAAATTAGTTTTTCCTGTGTATGTTTTTTTGACTCTCATAGTGCCAGTAGCCTTTGACCTGCATTATATGAATCACCAAGGACCACAGTTTCAGCTAAAAATCTTCTTTAGTGTTGAACTGAAGAAGAAAAGTCACCTACATTTGGATGGCTTGAGGGTGAGTAAATTAACAGCAAATTGTCATTTTTGAGTGAAATATCCCTTTATTTTGCACCTTTTGAAATGTATGCGAGTTTGGATGCATGTGAATCAATTTTAATTTGTTGATGTTTATTCATCTTCTCTAGATGTTCGATGATCGCAGCCATGATCCTTGATGTGTTCAATGTATTCTACGTTCCCTGGGGCAGAAAGACCTGCAGCCTAAAATAGTCTTTGGCAAACCTATTTGGTAAAAATGTAAAAATAAAAAAACATAAAAAAACTTTTTTTTTGTTTTTGCACACTTTGAATAGCTACTACCATCCACAAATACTGTGCAAATTTCTATGCTCCATACAGATTCACATTTTGGTGACTGTTAAAGTGTTTCTGTTGAAAATGTGACTTAACAATATGAGCTTACTCTTATATAAAAGCATTGTTTCTGTTAAATACATTAATGTAGGTGACAAGCATGTCTGTTGTTGTTCAGTGTGCTTTTAATTGTTCTGATACTCCCAAGTATTGTAATTGTATTTTTTTTTT